GGAACTTTACATATATTCCTTTACATAATCTTCACAACAAACCTGGCTAGAGGGTATCAACCCCCTTTTTCCAGATTAGAAAACTGAAGTTCAGAGCGTTTAACCCACCAGCCCATAACCAACACAGATGTTTTTCAGACCCTGGGACAGGCATGTGGGAAAAGGCTAAGAACACCGGTCAACCCTGAAAGCTGCTCGCAGTGGAGGTTGGGGGCAGACCCCAGCAGCTCCCAGCCTCAGTCTTGCTCTGTGGGAGAGACTCTAAGACTGGGAGCACTTCTTTTTCTTTTTTTAAGTTGTATTTAAGTAATCTCTCCACCCCACATGGGACTCAAACTCATGAGTGTCCTCCACCCCCAGATCAAGAGTCACACGCTCTTTCACTCTTCGACTGAGCTAGTCAGGTGCCCCAAGGCTGGGAGCATTTCTGTATTTCACTCTGTGCGCAGAGAGGCAGGTCCCCAAGGCACCTGCAAGAAGAACAAGGCTCAGGGTAATCCCCCCGGGGCCCAGGAGAAGGGACAGCCCTGGCCCAGAGCATCTCTCCACCAAACTGAACTCCTCCCTGAGCGTGTCATAAGGATCTTGGAGGAGGAAGTCAACCTCCCTTCCCATGTCTGGGATTGGCCCAGCCTGGTGATACCGGACTCCCACGGAGCTGGGTCTCAGTGACATCAAATAGGGAAGGAGCACCAAAAGTAATTCAGCTGTCAAGAGCCTGAGTCAGAACTTAAATCTAAGTCCGTATGACTCCAAAACTCGCGCACTTTCCACTTTCTCATGCTGGGATAGTCACCAAGTCAGGTAATACAGAAGTTAGTGGGGGTTGACACCGGTTCTCATTTTTTTTTTCAGTATTATTAAGATATACTTGACACATAACATCATATAAGTCTGAGGTATAGAACATTATGATTTGATGTAGGTATGTATGGTGAAATGATTCACCTGACCTGGCCCTAAATGTTTTCCCCTGGTAATGAGAACTTTTAAAGTCTGCTCTCATAGCCACCTTCGAACATACAATATTGTTAACTAGAGTCATCACGCTCTGTATTACATCCTCAGAATATTTTTATCTTTTAATTAAGAGTTTATACCTTTTGAGCACTTAAAAACTTTTTATTTATTTATTTGAGAGAGAGAGAGCACGAGCAAGAGAGCACAAGCAGGGGGGATGGCAAGGGAAGAGGGAGAAGCAGACTCCCTGCTGAGCAGGGAGCCCAACATGGGGTTCCATTCCAGGACCTTGGGATCATGACCTGAGCGAAGGTAGGTGCTTAACCAAATGAGCCACCCAAGCTCCCCTCCTTTTGACCACTTTGACCACCCAATTTCCCCACCTCCTCCACCCTCCACCTCTAGCAACCAAAAATCTGATCTATGTTTCTATGACTTTGTCTTGGATTCCACTTACGAAATCACAAAGTATTTGTCTTTCTCTGCCTGACTTATTTCGCTTAGCATAGTGCCCTCTAGGTCCATCCATGTTGTCACAAACAGCAAGATTTCCTTCTTTTTACGGCTGAATAGTATCCCAGTGTGTGTGTGTGTTTGTGTGTTCGTATCTTTATCTGTCTCTTGGTGGACACTTAGGCTGTTTTCACATCTTAGCTACTGTAAATAATGCTACAGTGAGCACAGGGACTCACATATCTGTCCTGGACAGAGGTGTTGTTTCCTTTGGCTATACACCCAGAAACGGAATTGCTGGATCAGATGGTAGTTCTATTTTTAATTTTTTGAGGAACTTCCATACTCTTTTCCACGGTGGCTGCGAATTTACATTCCCACACACAAGGGTTCCCTTTCTTCACACTCTCGCCACCATTTTTTACCTCTTGTCTTTTTGATGATGGCCCTTCTGACTGGTGCGAGGTGGTATCTCACTGTGGTTTTGATTTGCGTTGCCCTGATGATTAGTGATGCTGAGTACCTTTTCATGTACCTGTGGCCATTTAAATATCAAATAAATAAATTTGGGGGGGGGAGCCTATTCAGGTCCTTTGTTCCTTTTTAATTGGATTATTGGGGGGTGTTGGTTTTGGGTTTTGCTTTTTGCTATTAAGTTTCTTATATACTTTGGATAGGAACCCCTTACTGGGTGTGTCCTTTGCAAATATTGTCTCCCATTCTGTAGGTTGCCTTTTCCTTTTGCTTTTTTTTTTTAAGATTTTATTTATTTGACAGACAGAGATCACAAGTAAGCAGAGCAGCAGGTGGGGGGGGCAGGGAAGCAGGCTCCCTGCTGAGCAGAGAGCCCAATGCGGGGCTCGATCCAGGATCCCGAGATCATGACCTGAGCTAAAGGCAGAGGCCCAACCCACTGAGCCACCCAGGTACCCCTCCTTTTGTTGATGGTTTCTTTTGCTGTCGAGAAGCTTTTTAGTTTGATGCGGTTCTACTTGTATATTTTTTTATTTCATTGTTTGTGCCCTAGGTATTGTACAGCGCCATTTTAAGACCTACAAATCGGAGATGCGTGTGTGACATCCAAGTGAATTCAGCTAATAAACTGGTGGGTGTATGCAGAACACCACCCTCCTCCTGTCATCTCTCCGCCAGGAGATGGTACCCCCATCCACTTAACCCCTCATGCTAGAAACCTGGAGTCATCCGTGACTCCTCTTCCTCTTCCTCAGCACAAGCTAGTAGCCACCAAGTTCCAAAGACTGCACTTGCCATGTATTTCTGAAAACCCTCTCTTCCTCTGCAGCCTCCCACTGTGCTAGGTCAGGCGTAATCTTCTCCCAACAACATTATGGCAGTAACTCTCTTACTGGTCCCTTTGCCTCGGGTCCAGCGCCATCAAATCCGTCTTCCAAACAGCCAGCGACCCAAGATATTTAGAATAAGATCAATCTACCCAGAATAGGTCCGCTCCTGTCATTTCTCTGCTTCCTCTTCAAAAGCCTTCTGATGGACTCAAGCTGCTTACTCTGGGAAACAGGGGTTCCTCCATGAGCTGGCCCTGCCCACATCTCGGCCTCCTAGCCCACCTCTCCAGAATCCTCCCCTCCCACCCCCAATCCAAAACGCTGGGCTCCAGCAGAGGAGGCTTGTTTGTGGCTCGACCTCACACACACCTTTTGGTATCTGGCTTCTGGAACTTTCTGAGCCTGCACTCTTGCCTGAACTGCATTTTGTTTTCACCTACTCCTCATGATCCTTTCAAATCAGCCCAGTTGTCACTCCCCCAGGAAGCCTTTCCTGCCTCCTCCTCAACACCTCTCTGCCAAAGCGGATTAGGTACCCCTCCTCTGTGGTCCCATATGCTCTGTGCACAGCACCATCCTTGATCTGATCATGTTTCTTTATATCTGCGCGAGGGTCTGTCTTCTTCACCAGCACACCGAGGTTCCGTAAGGCCGGAAGAGCATCTTGTTCATCTTTTCATCCCTCCTGTCTACCACATAGTAGGTTCTCTGTCAATATTTGTTGATTAAATGAATGAGCACACATTCTCACAGCCACACTCAGGCGAGCGCACCAATAGACGCACACACCGAGATGTGCTCAGCATCTCCCAAGAAGCAGACCTAAGCGCCTGTGTTCTCTGGAACTCTGCTTGCTGCAAAATGTAATAGTTTACACAATCCATTCTGGGGACCTAAACAAGGCTCTGTCTCTTCCCTCGGTCTCTGTTTTTATGACTCCAACCTGCGCGTGGGTTTTAAACTCAAATTTAGGGCAACGTAAATTATAATTGAACTCTTAATGGAAGAAAAAGACAGAACCAGAGCAAGAAAGAAAGAAAGAAAGATGCTTATTTCTAGTGAGAAAAGATTGTAGAAGTGCAGAAAGAGCAAACACCTGGGGACATCTGCAGTGAAGACCTTTCAAATTAGAAGACTCAGCTTTGGACTTTATTCCAGCGTGTGTATGATACCAGATTTATCCAACATAGATGTAACCAACATATTGTCCATTCCCAAAATATCCAAAAAGCTTTTGAGTTACCTTTTCTGTTCACAGATATTGGGAGAATACACACACACACACACACACACACACACACACACACACACACACACTTCACACCTGCAAAAATATTCTGCAGTGTTGATGGAACACTTAGACAACCCTGCTGAAGACTCCTACTTGTGGTTCTTAAACCTATTCATTAGAAGTCTTTCATCTTGGCGCAGACAGGACCAAGAACATAACTTGTGGGACCCACTGAAAAACGACAGATTCCCTTGCTCAAAAATCATGGAGAATTTCAAGACAGCAATGGCAGAGAATTAAACCAAATCTAAGATCTCTCTAGGCCAGGTCCTATGTGACTGCACAGGTCACATGCCCATGAAGCCAGCTTGGGGCCAGAGTCCTCAAATCAATCCGAAGTACCACCTCTAATTTGTTAAGAGGCTGCCCTCATTTCATTCCCAGCCCTCCCAGTTAGGAAGTGTAGACCTCACTAGCTCTCTGCTTGAGCTCTTAAACAGACCTCAGTCTCTCTTTCTCTCTCTCTCTTAAGATTTTTTTATTTAGTTGAGAGGGAGAGAGAGCACAAATGGTGGGAGGGACAGAGGGAGAGGGAGAGGGAGAAGCAGGCTTCTCACTGAGCAGGGAGCCCCACAGGCTCGATCCCAGGACCCTGAGATCATGACCTGAGCCGAAGGCAGATGCTTAACCCACTGAGCCACCTGAGCACCTGACCCCGATCTGTTTTTAAGAATCTTCCTTTTGGGGAGCCTCGTGCAATTGGTATGTCTGTTCTTTCACCATTGTCATACTGCACGTGAAAAAAACTTGTTGGGTCTCTCCTCTCTCTTCCCAGCTTGTCCAAGATCCAGGTTCAAAGGAGGCTTACAGGTTGAGCCTGGAGCTCAGCAGTAGGGAACATCCCCCTGGGTCTGATGAGCAGCAGCTTCTAGTCATGAGGTCTCTCCCCTACAGGGTCCCTCCTCAGGTGCCAGCAACCTACCCCATGGGCATGCTGGGAACTCCTCCCACCTGGGCCTTTGTCCCGGGTCCAGAGTCTGTGCCCTATCTATGTAGTCACAGAGACCAGCTGCAGTCCACACATAGCAGAAGTTCCTTGTTTACTAGGTACAGAGGGTCATAATCTCTGACTGCAAACACTGGCAGCTCCAGAGACCAAGGGAAAAGCAGGGGCAGAGTGGCAGTCTGGGAAGAAGCAGCCCACACCAGATCCTCTGGCCTGCGGGTGACAGGCCTAGGAATAGCAGGTAGGGGATCTGTTGGGGGCCAGAGACTAAAAGCAATAAGGTGCAGATAATGCAGAGGGTCAGGAAGAGGTCCCCCAGAAGGGGGAGAAGAGCGTCCCAGGTGCTAACCCTTCCCACATCCAGGGGTCTGCGACAGCCATCACAACATCTGAAGCCATGGCCAGTGGAGAGGATGGGCCGAGGAGCTGTGTGGTGTGCAGGGACCGAGCCACAGGCTATCATTTCCACGCCCTGACCTGTGAGGGCTGCAAGGGCTTCTTCAGGTAAGTGCCCCCCACCCTGGGAGAAACCACCTCCCAAACTCCCCACTGGGCAGCCTTTAAGCCATGGCACATGCCCGAGCTTGTCCACCTACGTTACTCCTGCCTCTCAGAGGCTAACTGCCCTGTGGCTAGCGTGGTACATCTCGTCAACCTCAACATTGCATAAATTGGTGATAGAATAATAGAGGGAAGGCTGCTGTTGGTCCTGTGGACACAGCCCCTTACCCACTACCTGCGAACACCAAGTCAGGGATCCTGTGCCCTGTGCTTGAGATGGCGTATACACTACCCACCCTTAGGGACCCTTGGGCACAGCTCAGATTAGCCCATGTCCCCACAGATCCTTCTAGACTGTGTCATCTCAGCCCCTCACGTAGCCACCTGTTCACTGCCATCCGTGACCACCCTCCCGAAAGTCTCCATCTCTCACAGACGAATAGTCAACAAAAGCATTGGTCTCACCTGCCCCTTTGCTGGAAGATGTAAGGTCAACAAGGCCCAGAGACGCCACTGCCCAGCCTGCCGGTTGCAGAAACGCCTAGACGCTGGCATGAAGAAGGAAAGTGAGTTGGCCCCTACCGACACCAGAATCCACGGACAAGGTCGCTCTGCTTTATCCTCGTTCCCAAAGCGTGTTCTCCCACAAGAAGAGTAAGATTTTGGAAACAAGTCAGATGATGTTTCTATTCCGCTCCTCATCTCTCTTATAGTCCAAGATCTCATGGTCTGGCTCCAACAGACAGCCTCCCGGATTTTATCTCCTGATCTGCCCACCTTGCTCCCTCGCTCATGGCCACACTGACTTCAGTGCCACTTTCAAGCACACCCAGCACACACCCCTCGGGACTTTTGCCCTTGTCATCCCCTCCACCCAGAATGCTTTCCCTAGATATCCTTACGGCTTGACTTTTGTGTGTCTCACATATAGCACATGTCACCTAGTAGGTACATGGTAACTGTTGAAGGAATCATCGTGTGTCATTTCTCTGTGCCCCGTAATGAGGCTTTGCTCCCCACAGATGATGTCACTGGAGCTCACTCGGCTACAAAGTTACAGTGTCCGTGTTTAGCTCTTCTGACTCCCAAGCCCTTGCTTTCCACTGATAGCGCACTACTCTTCAACACGGACCGGGGCATACCGTAGGAGTCAAAAAATCTCGGCTTGCATCACTTTAGTGTCTTGTCACCTTGGACCTGCCACTGGAATGTGAGCCTGTTTATGTGTCTGAGAAATCTGGATAGTAGCACCTGGCCTGTCTACCCTCTACCCACCGGGTTGTTTCATCCAGTGGGATTTAACCTCAGAACCCTTGCCGTTTAGGGCTATGTAAACAGAAGGTGATGCTTTAGGAACCAAGAGCTCTTCCTCTTCGCTGGTCGCCCAGAAGCCAAACATCTCCCTTCACTGTGACTACTTTATTTTCCACCCCTCCCCACCCCCCAGTGGTACCTTGTTTTCCCCAGCGGGGCCTGCGGGGCTGGGGAGAGGGACGGGGATCCCTTACCACTGGGGCCTCTAGGACTCCAGCCAAGCCCAGGGAGGCCCCAGGAATGCTGCTCCCTCCCCACATCCTTCATCACAGGGTACCCGGTGCCCAAGGGCTCCCAGACAGAGGGTGAGGGTGGGCGCTGGCAGAGACAGTGATGCCCTCTGCGGACCTCAGCAGCATCGTCCCTCATCTTCCCCGGGCACAGTGATCCTGTCAGCAGAAGCCCTGGCAGCGTGGCGGGCGAAGCAGGCCCAGCGGCGGGCCCAGCAAGTCCCTGCACAGCTGAGCAAGGAGCAGGAGGAGCTGGTGCGGACACTCCTGGGGGCACACAGCCACCACGTGGGCACCATGTTCAACCAGTTCGTGCAGTTCAGGGTGAGCCTTTGCATGGACTTTGGGCTGAAAGAGGACCAAAAGGGCAACCGAGGAGGCTGTCCAGAGGGAGTGGGCAGCAGTGTCCCACGCCCCAAGACAGAGGACGAGGCTTCTCCAGAACCCCAGCATCCACAGGCTCCTCAACCTGGAAGTCCTTCCAAGACAGGGCTGGAGAGACCCCTGGGACTAGGGCCACTCACTCAGGCCCCGATCTCCGCAGCCTCCTGCTCATCTGTTCATCCATCACCAGCACCTGCCCATCCCAGTCCCCGAGCTGCCCCTGCTCACGCACTTTGCGGAGGTCAACACCTTCGTGGTACAGCAAGTCATCAAGTTCACCAAGGACGTGCCTCTCTTCCGGTACGTGACCTCCCCTTACCTTCCAGGAGGAAAACACTCCAATAAATTATAATCACACACACACACACACACACACACACACACCCAGTCCCTGACCCGCTAACCCTTCCTACTGCCTTTCTAAGCACGGGGTCTTGAATTCCCTCCTTTGGTCTTAAGTATCTCAGCCAGAACTGGGAGCTCCTTTCCCTCTCTAAAAGGCTCTTGCCTCCTCCCCTCAGGTCCCTGCCCATGGAGGACCAGATCTCCCTGCTCAAGGGAGCAGCGGTTGAAATCTGTCATATCGCACTCAATACCACTTTCTGTCTCCAAACACAAAACTTCCTCTGCGGGCCGCTCTGCTACACGCTGGAAGACGGCGTCCATGGTGAGGGGGGCTGGAGCCGGGGCGGGCGGGCGCGCGTCCTTTGGCGGTAAGGCCTGTGGCGGGGTGACCGGGAGGATTCTAAGACCAGCATCTCCCACAGCGGGGTTCCAGGAAGACTTTTTAGAGTTGCTCTTTCGCTTTCATGCGACACTGAGACGACTCCAGCTCCAGGAGCCCGAGTATGTGCTCATGGCTGCCATGGCCCTCTTCTCTCCCGGTGAGCACCCCCCAAAGCCCAGAAGCTTCTGCTCCTCCACCCCTGCCCGGACTCCCAGCCCCAGGAATCCCTGCCCGCCACCACCCATCCTTCCCACCCTCTGTCTTCCAGACAGGCCTGGGGTTACCCGGAGGGAGGAGATCGATCGTCTGCAAGAGGTGACGGCACTGACCCTGCAGAGCTACATCAAAGGGCAGCCGCCAAGGCCTGGGGATCGGTATGCGGGAGCCTGGGAGCCTGGAGGCTGCGCAGGAAGGCAAGGGAAACACTGAGCTCAGGGGAATGCTTCTGCTGTCCTGCCCTCTGGGAAACCAGGTTCCTTGGGGGCACCGAGTCCTTCCCTCGCACCTCAGATGGGTCTGGCATCCGAATCGCTCCTACTGCTGTTTCATCTGATTTTTTCCAGATTTTTTTTTTATTCAGTAGAGATGCAAAGTCGTAGCTCGCAGGCTCTGTATGATAGCATTCCTGAGACAGATGACACCCGTCACCTTACCCGTCCACTCCAGGCTAAAAGCAGCCTTCCAGGAATTCTCGTTCGCTCTTTCCTTGGCCCTCCCCTTCCTCTCCATGGGCCCCTTCCTTTAATTTTTCATCCCTGCCTTGAAGTTATCATGGTCATTCAGATTCCTGGGCAAAGCCAGGCTCTGGCTCAGCCGTCCAGGCTCCATCCAGGCTCTGAGGTAGGCTCCGCGTGTTCTCACGTGTTCCTCAACGAGCCAGTTTGGCCAGAAGAGGGACGCTTTAGACCACAGAACACACCCACCTTCTAGAACCTGCTCTAGAAGGCCAGATCCATAGATTCCACAGAGCTGCAGCTCTGACCAAGTCTGGGGCTTTCTTCACACTTGGCCCTGAGACCTCTGGATTCAAGAAGGGCATGGTGAGAGGAGACCTCGGGGACCTTGGGAATTTTTGCTGATTTGTCATACCAGAGCATGATTTTCTGTAGTGTTCAGACCTAGCTTCACTGAGGGAAAGTTCCAGGGAGCAGAACTTCAAGACAAGACTCTCAGCTACCTTATTTTCCTCTTTCCCTGGTGACCCCACTACCTCCTCCAAAGGTTTCTGTACGCGAAGCTGCTGGGCCTGTTGGCTGAGCTCCGCAGCATTAACAACGCATATGGGTACCAAATCCAGCACATCCAGGGCCTGTCCGCCATGATGCCGCTGCTCCAGGAGATCTGCTGAGGACCCCACTTGCCTCCTTCCACAGCCCATCTGGACACGTTGGACTGGAAAGGGGAAAATGCTGGGGCCAGAGGTTGGGACCGGTAGGAAGGGAACCCAGTGGTTGCAATGAAAGACTAAAGCAGTAACTACCTCTTCATGCAGTCTTGGGGTTGGTGGGGGATGACCACAGGGACAGAGCTATTCTCTGGGAGCACGGAAGATGGGAAGGAGGAAGCCTCAGGGCTAAGAGGTAAAGAAGCTCCTTCTGGGAATTGGGGGGGCACTTTCTGAGGTCAAAGATGTAGCCCTTCAGCACTTCTCTCCCAGCCCTAGACTTGGGGATGGAAAACAGGACAGGGAGCTAATCCCATGCAGCCTGTTCTGCTCTGAAGAGGAAGAAGCTAGGGGCTTTAATTGATAGGAAAACGAAGAAGGGGGATGTGAGGGGAGAAAAGTCAGCCAGACACACCCCTTAATCCTTCTCCCTTAGTCCAGAGCCACAAGAGCATGGGAAGACAACCCTGGAGCCAGTGGCAGAGGTGGGGGCCATACACCACGGCCCCAGCAGCTGCCCATGGCGGCTCCAGTTCTGAGGAGGGCACGGTCCCATCCCCCGCTCTGCTCCTGGGACCCAGAGGTCACCCGGCAAGGTGCGCTCTGGAGAGGGGGCCTAGTCTCTGGCCCTAGGGCACCTGCCTCGGAGGTTCCAGCGTCTGTGAGGGGCGGGCCCTGGGAGCACCTCAGCCCACAGTGATGCTGAAGCCACAGTGGAATCTGTTGCGCCAGTGATTGAGGAAGGCTCCGAGGGCCAGGGTGACGGGCAAGGGGGGCATCTTCTTCTCCAGCACAGCACCCACACACCAGTTACTGTCCACCAAGCCTGTTGGAGAATAGGATACGCACGAGGTTACTTCACAGGCTTAGAGACGGGGGTCAGGAGCAAGGTCAGAAGGATGCTTGCCTCCTCCCTCTGTCCCCCTAGTCCCTCGGCACCTCCGAACGCCATCTCAATAACCCTCACCTCTAAACACCATGTTGGCCTGGGGCAGAGTCAGGTGGTAACCGAAGGAGAAGGTTGTGTCTTGTACCCTTGTATTAGCCTCAAATTCCACTCCAACCTGGACCTGAGAACCACAGGCAAGGATGGGAGAAGGATCTGTGTCATTGAGGACCAGAGGAGTCCCGACGGGGGCTCGGCGGAACGGATGCGTGCGCGAAGCATCTGTGTGGCGTGGGTGGGAAGAATCCCAAGGCAGTGGGGCCTGTGGAGGTCTGCAGGGGCACAAGTTCACGACTGGCTTGCTGGGGTAGGGGAATGGCATCAGGAGACTCACCTGTTCGTTTGCCCTGTGGTAATAGCTTGCATGGGCCCCACCTGACCCCACATTCAGGGTGGCCACCCAGTGCACCGCTGTAAAAACCAAAACGCAGGAGACAAGGAGTGTTACCATAGCAGGACACAGGCCAGGAATCCTCACCGAGTGCAGAATCTCCCCTCCCTGTCACTATTCCCCCTCACCCCATACCCGAGTACTTTCCAGCCAGTGTCAGGATGGCGCCCTCCTCGCCTGGCCGCCGGTGATAAACTAGCTCTCCTCCCAGCACCAGCCGTTGGGTGAGGCTCTGCAGGAAGTGAGCCACCATGATCACTGTGGGGTAGCAGGGAGACACGGAGTCAGTCGCAGGGACAGCCTCCAGGCCTGCTCCCCTACCCCTGCCTGCCCAAGCACTTTCTAATCCCTCAACTGTACAGACGAGGAGGAGACAGAGCCAACATCAGCAAGTGAGCAGCCAAGATCCAAAGCACCCCGTCCCAGTTCCTCACCCGATTCCCCAATCAGGTCAGGATTCCCTAGGGTCAGAGTGGCTGTGTAGTCATCTCCTCGGTACTCGCCATCAAACTGCCACGTCAGGAACTTGGCTTGCTGCGTCTGGGTAGGCAGAACAAGGAGTAGAGCCTTCCCCCCCCCCACCCCGCGTGATCACTCCTGCCCTGCTCCTCCCCCTGGAGCCCCCCAGCGCAGCACACTCATGGAGAAAGGGGAAATGCTTCAGCGGACGGCGGCAGGAACCATGGGTCACCTGGAAGACCGCCTTGGCTCGGAGCCGCTCTGCCAAGAGGAGCAGGACCTGGGCGTTGAGGCTGCCACTGCTGTCCATATCCCCCACCACAGTGGGGAACACCTGTTGAAGAGGGTACAGGGCAAGACTGAGCTGGGGGCACGCTCAGCTTCCGTCCAACCGGCCAGCATTTCTTTAGCAGTACCCAGCGCCCCCTAGTGGAGCCACAGAGACAGACCCCGGCTCCTCGCCCAAATGTTTCCCCCACTCTCTCCCGTCGGAGGAAACACAGAGGCAGGTGCCCTGCACACTCTTCCCTGTAACACACTCCTCTCCTCCTCCTCCTCTAGTCCCGAGTCCTGGGTGGGCTTTCCCCCATAACACCCTCCTTTCCTCCTCCTCTAGACCTGAGATCTGGGTGGACTTTTAGGGAGATGACCCGGGTGTGAGGACTACTCACCTCGGCGGGGCTAAGTTGCCAGTCTCCTGCATAGGCCGCATGGAGGTGATACCCCGGCAAGCCCAGGGCACTCATGTGCACGGTGTGAGCCACCTGAGGAAAGAGAATTCAGTGGAGGAGGAAAATGTTCCCACCCACCTCAAGCCCCGTTCCACCCCTCTCCTTCTCCCCATCCAGAAGGCCTTACAAGAATCCCAAACATTCCAACATACACAGAGGGTCACCGAAACTAAAAGCAGTAAGTCCCACAGGCGAGGGAAGTAAAGAGAGCCCCACATCCTCCCTCATTTGTCCCACAGAGCCTAGTTAAGGCTTGAGTACAAAGGCAAGGAGGAGAGTATCCAGGGATAGGCAGGGAGGATCTTAAGGAGGGCCAGAGAAGTGGGAGCACCTGGAAATGGCTGCTCAGAACCTTGTTGACAACGAGCTTCACTCCCTCCATCTGTGCTGGGAACACATCTGAAGGGGGTGGAGGGGAGGGGAAGCGGAGGAATGAGCACAGACAAGGAACCCCTACCCCAAGATGTAGTCTCCCCTTTTAATCCCATTGAAAGCACTTTGGAGGAACTGACCTCCTTTCAAGTCCTACCACGAAATGTTCCACTCCATGTGGGCACCTGATCCTCCCTGAGGCTGGATGCCCCAGCTGGGTTCTCCCCTTTCCTGCTCCCATCACCGGACACCCAGAATTCAAGACCCTCCCCTCCTCTGCCCCTTCAATGTGAGACACCCAAACGCCAAGTTCTCACCTTTGCATAGCCGGTGCAGCTCATCGAAGCTCCCAGGGTTGGGCAGAGGCTCCTCTCGACGGGGGCTCCGGCGGGGCAAAGCCCCCATCGGTGCCAGGCCCAGTGTGTTCCCCATTTCAGTCCAGAGAACAGGGGAGGGGCAGGGGTTAGCCTGAGAAAGAACGCTATTGCTCCCTCTACCCCGCACGGGTCCCACCCCCCATCATCCGACTCCCCAGTCCCAGAAACTTCCACATGGCCCGATGCTAGACCTGGAAGAGGAAGAGCAGGGAGAGGGCACCGGTGGGGAGACTGAACCCCAGGCACACTCCCGTCCCATCTTTGATTCTTCACCCCACCTGTCACCCCGTCCCTTCCCCCATTATCTAATCCTAGCTCCCATCACAGACCTCACCCAGCTTCCCAGTCTTCCTGTTCTTCATTCCTAGACCCCAACGCGAGACTGGCAATGAAGCAATAGTCCTTACCGTCTCAGACTATCATGCTGCCCCTTTTCCCCCGGCACACCCCGGTCATCTTGATGGGGGCAGCCATCTTGAGTAATGGCAGGACTGCGGCTTCACGCTGCTTTCTCAGCGTGGTCATGAGCGCCATCTTGGAGTCGGGCAAAAAAAAAGACATTAAAGACCCGACCCTCCCTTGATTGGGCCCCGCCCAGAAGATTTAAAAAAAAAAAAAAAAAGCTGCCTCCGTCTCCCAGGGGCCAATGGGAGAGAAGGAAGCAAAGGAGTGGCAGAGTCGGGTCCAGAGAGCTCCAACCCAGGCACTGCAGAGGCAGGCGGGGCTTGATTGGTAGATGGCCTGAGATCGCCCGGCCTCAGCAAGGTCGGGAAGACGCTGGGAACGTCGTAGGCGCCAGAGGGAGAGTTTTGGAGCTTGGGCTGCTGCAAGTCCTTTCGCGGGACAGCCTGGAGGCCTCCGTTTTGTGAAGGGTGGCAGAGGGAATGATTGTGAATTCTGCATTGGAACCCTGGTTCTTATGGCTCCTAGCTGCCCCTACCTCGAACCCCTTAGGGACTCCTCACAGCCCCCCACAGTACACAGCACACACCTCCAGATGGGTACCACTCGCAAGTACAGCCCTCCCCATGGGGACGCGGAGGTCTACGCCTCTCCCAAGTTCACCTTCTAGTTCTCTTGGTGGATTGGGAGTGGGTGAGAGTTTAGGGTAGAGGAGCAGGACTTGCAGCCTTAGTTAAAGCAGGATGATTCCGTGAAGCAACTGCCCTCATTGGCTAACCCTTCCCTCATTGCTCAGGCAAATAAAATCTGGGAATATGGACTCTGGCTCCCAAACGCACTCCACTCCAAAACCAAGGACCGTCAGTGGGGGTGTCTTTCAAATACTAAGCACTCCAAAGGAATAATTGAAGATGGAGTAAGATTTTTTTTGGCCCAGGGTCACTTCCCTCACTAGCCCTCACAGCCCCATCTCCGTTTCTCAAGAATGTTCTAGGTATGGGGTGCTTGCGTGGCTCAGTGGGTTAAGCTTTTACCTTTGGCTCAGGTCATGGTCCCAGGGTCCTGGGATTGAGCCCCGCATCAGGCTCTCTGCTCAGCAGGAGGCCTGCTTCTGCCTGCTCTCTTCCTACACGGGATCTCTTTCTCTCTCTGTCAAATAAGTAAAATCTTTAAAAAAAAAAAAATAATGTTCTATGTACACTTTGAGGGCAAAAGGGTAAAAGATACAAATGCTTCAGATAGCTGTTTAGGTGATTTCACACAAATGCCTTGGGCTTGGGGGATGTACCTTTGTCCTCCCTCACAGGCAGAGCTGGGGCTGGGGCCTCGATCAGAGGGATGCTCTGGCCCCGCTGACTCACACTGATTGACCATCACCTTAGAATGACAAGGTAATCCAGTGACCAGGGAACTTCAGCCTTTATCCTTGGTAGAAGACTCTCATTCACTTCCTTTCTTGCCGGGGCCCACCATTTGGGAAGGGGAAGGCAGAGGCTACTTTCTGAATTTGTTTTATTAGAGGTAGGGTCTACACGTTTATTAGCACTCAAGAGGGTTATTCTGGGCTCTCGCGTTTTCTCCCTCATCTCATTACACATTAACTGAAAGCAGGACAGATTCAATCACACTTGCCCTCTGACTCTAACCCTTACTCTCCTGTCTCGGCGGGTGCGACAATTCGATCAGGAACGTGAGAGTAAGAGGATGGTGAAAAGAAATTAAGAGACAAAGAGATGGGGGCAGGAGGAGCACTGAGGAGGATGTCCCACAGTGCTGATTTTATTCCACATCTTACAAGCATTTATAAGGCAGACCACAATAGAAGGAATAATACATCAGTATCTAGTCAGATAACCGCAAGTTCCTATAACAAGTCTTACATTAACTACAAACAAATCTCGTGATGCCAGGTAATCACGGCTAAAGCCATTAGCTACAAGAAATTACAATCAACCAGGGAGTGGATTATGGGAAGTACAGGAACAACGAGGACCAACTAAGAATTCAGGACCCTGACCACATTTGTTCCCTTCTGTAGGGAGAGCGTGTGGGAAGTCACGTAGACGAGCGCACGATACATAGCACAGACCCTTTCTCAGTGTTACTCAACTTTCCTGTCCTTAACCCCTTATCAAGGTGTCTGGATTTTAAAGGAGACACAAGTCAGGGCCTGGTTTGATCCACGCCTCCAACCGTGCCGTAGCCTCCAACATTCTCCTAATCCTCATTTGCCTGCCCCCTGGCCCCGATTTCATTCCTTTCCCCTTTCTCCTGTTCCCCGATACCTCTCTGCCAAGCTGCAGTGAAGGGGGTAGGGCTGGGGAGGTGAAATCTGGCCACAGTGGGACAAAGTTACCAAGGGCTGAGGGTTTGATATGTCAGGGCTTTCTGGAAGAAAACTAGGAATCCTGCTTCCTGCAGCATTCAAATCCAAAGAGCGCCAGCCCCAGACCCCGAAAGAGTGAGTGTCAGTAAGCCGGAAGAATGCCCCCTTGGCCTCCGTCCGCCCACTAAGACCCACACCCATGCCTCCCGCCTCCATCACCATGATCCCCCACATTCTTGTCCTCTCCTCCCCCATTTCTTCAACTTGTTTACTCCAACGTGGCCCTGTCCCATGGGGCCCTTCCACAGTCCTTATCACCTGACAGGGGGGTGGGGAAGCAGAAATGTATATAGCCCCATCTCCCCAGCCCGGCCAGACGCAGACAGCAAAGAGAGACGCTGACCAGGTAGGGTAAGGAAGTGAGTGGTGTGGCCAGGATCCAGAGAGGACCCAGTTTTAACTGTGGGAAGGGAGGGAAACTGGTCGGAGTGGGCACCTAGGTAGGAGTCTCTGGAGAGGGGCTGAAACTCATTCCTCCCCCACTCCCAACTGCTTCCAGGCCACCATCCCCACTGTTACCACCATGAAGCTGCTTGCTCTGACTGTGTTGCTCCTCACCGTCTGTAACCTTGAAGGTGGGTGTCGTATGGAAAGGGGTCCCAAGAAGGAGAAGGTGCTAGGGTTCCTGGCTTCCCATCTGTCAGTGCTCCTAGCAAGGAGCACTGAGTGCTCCAGAGCAAGATCACTCCCTCTCAAAGGTTCGGAAAGCTCATCCAAAGACCTGGAGCTGGGTACCTGTTTAGGGAGGGGGCTGGGAGTGGGGGCTGGCTACCAAAAGAGTCCTGGCCTTCTGCCAGGTCCCTGTTGGGGACCCAGCTGATGAGCTCTGTGTGTGTTGTGTGCATGTATGCGCAGGTGCTCTTGTTAGGAGACAGGCGGAGGAGCCGAATCTGCAGAGCCTGGTCTCTCGGTACTTCCAGACAGTGACCGACTATGGCAAGGACCTGGTGGAGAAGGCCAAGGGCCCAGAGCTTCAGGCCCAGGCCAAGTAAGTCTCAGTGAAAGGAACTTGGGGGGCACACCCAGCTGGCGTGGTCAGTGGAGCGTGCGACTCTCGATCTCCGGATTGTGAGTTTGGGCCCCACGTTGGGTGCAGAGATTGCTAAAAAATAAAATCTTTTAAAAAAGAAAAGAGAAGAGAAAAGAAAGAAAGGGGATCGGGGCCCAGGGAGCTTTAGAGAGAAAAAAGGGAAGATGGGAGATTGCCGGAGCTCAAGGGTGGGGGTTAGAGAGGATGAGGTTTAAGTTGGAGACACAAATTCTTCACCACCTCGTAGATCCCACAGACCTCTTGGACAGATAGGGCCAGTGAGAACTAGGCTTTGAATTTTTATCTCTAGGGTCTGTTCCTCTACACGATGGAGGGCTTGCCTCCCCTCCTGGGAGGGTTACCATAACAGGATGGCCCAGGTCCTAGAGTCTGGGGAGCTGGGTCTCACCTCCCAGCGCCAGTGAGTCCCCTGCCAGTGCCTAGGGTCTCTCACACTGACCTCTAATCCTTTGATTATACAGGGCTTATTTTGAGAAGACACAGGAGCAGCTAACGCCCCTGGTCAAGAAGGCCGGAACTGACCTGATCAACTTCTTGAGCAGTTTCATGGACCTCAAAACACAGCCTGCCACTCAATGAGGCATCCAGACCATTGTCTTCCATCCCCAGCTGGCCACTAGAACACCCACTGGTCCAGCCTAGAGTGCTCTCCCCGACACGCTCCTTGTTTTCTACAATAAATATTGAAGGAGTCAGGTGTGAACCTGGTGCTTTGGAGGACTGGGAGAAGAGAAGTATGGGTATCGGTGAGGGGAGGACCAAGAGGCCTGCTCCTGCTAGGGGAGGGGTTTGGTGTGCGGAATGGAGGGAGGGATGAAGAGACAGCTGGTGGAAACAATAGGGGAGTGGTGTCTATGATTTTTCTTCATGCCCAAATCATCTTCCCCGAGCCTGGGATCTGCTCGGCACAAAGGCTTAGCCTGTGCACTGCACAAGGGACAGTGAAAGGCAGGAAAGTTTCATAAACCGAGTCCCTAGACTACTGGAGGTCACAGAAAAGGAGGGCACCCCCACCTCCAGAACTTCCTCTCGATCATTCTATGAAGAGGAGAAGCCTTCCCATAAATGAACCCAGAGGTGTCACCTGAGACCCTGGCTTCCCTTCTGAGCCAGGGGAATACCATGCCTCCCCCCGCCCCATCCTACAGAAAAGATACGAGTTCGCTTTTCTTCCCCAAAAGTGCTCAAACCCTCCTTCCATTTAAAAATCTCTCACCTAGACCCCCTGGCTAGGGAACATCCATTCCGAACCTCTCCCCTTATAGAACTGGCCAGGTGGTCAGATCTGAAACTCACAGACATGATGTTTAGCTCGGGGCCAGATGGGTCTCCCGGACTAAATCAAAATGGGATGGAAATCAGGCTGGGCTGATGTGGGAGACTCACAATACCAACATGGAGCGCGAAGAAGAGGCATTTTCCAGTAAGTTTGTTCCCACTCCGCACTTGAAGCAGCTACCTCTGGACCCTGGCTCATCGCTCAGAGCTCGTCTGAAATCACTGCTTCCCAGGCACCGGACAGGGCTCCAATTTCCTCCGTGTATTGATCAGTCTTCGGTTTGGCCTTCAAGGCCCTCGCCACGCATAGTGACATGCTTTCCTTTCTTCCCCAGTTTCTGTTTTTCTCTCATGCGGCAAGATGTGTGGGGACAAAGAGGGCTCAGTCTGTCCCTTGCAAGATGCCCTTGGACAGGTTAATTTCAAAGAGCCAGATCTTCCACCCGGGGTTGGTGAGCAGATACAACCGTGCAAGAGAGGTGGGAAACATAGTGGAGGGTTTCAAGTCGCTGTGCGGCGCTGAGTCTTACCCAACTCGGGCGGGGCGGGGTCGGCCTGGGTACTCAGGACCCATTCTGCTGGGGCTGTGGAATCAGAGGTAGAACCCGCGGCATCTGATGTGATGCAGACACCACAGGAAATCCCGGCTCCCGGCAGAGCAGGAAATAGGACAGGCATGGATCTGACCTGGGGCGGTTCCTTAGCTGCCCACCCTGGCACGTGGAGCTCGTCTCCCATCTAGGGGCCATTTGTTCCCCTTTGCCTTTCCTGCCTCCAACCCTCATCTGGCCCTCTAAGGTTCCTCCTGCCTGCAGAAACCACTGAAAACTCAAGTTCCCGTAAAACCTTCCATCAGGGGGGTCCCACAAGGCTTCAACACGCCGTCTGCTCAGCGACGCTAATGTCCAGATGCATGCCTGCTGTGTGCTGTACCCACGCTGCTCCCTGACCCTCCCTCTGGTCCGGATTGGTCACCGTTTGGGGCGGGACAGCCAGGCTACTCCACGGCCCAACCTCAGTCCAGTTGCCACACACGGAAAGCCAAGCTGGATGCAGACGTCATTTCTTAGGTTCCGATGTTCTGAATGTGCCTGGACACCTGACACTCGCTCGCTGTTCCAGCTCCATGCCACTGGACCTGGGGCGGAGGGTCTCACCCTGCCCCAGCCACGGGCAGCTTTCACTCCTCGACCAGGCAGCCTCGCCCTGAAGTCTACCAGACCGTGAGCTCTGTGGGGTCGGGAGCTCGTTACTCAGAACGGCATCGTCAGTCCCCGGCCTAGCGCCTCCTAGAGGCTGAATAAAGATATGATATGACATGACATGATATGATATGATATGATATGATGATATATGATGTGATATGATGATATGATATGATATGATGTGATATGATATGATGATATGATATGATGATATGATGATATGGTATGATATGATGTGATATGATATGATAAATAGACGAATAGAGTCCAGGCTCTGACGGCTTTATTGGTGATACTCTATTTCCATTGTTGAGTGGGAGCGGGAGACAGGAAAGAGAGGGGTGGGGAAGGGCAGTGAGATCAGAATATACACGTTAATGATTAGCATCTGAGCAGAAGTCTGGTGGGGAGGAAGACCCACCAGTGTCCAATAATGGGGGACGTAGCATCATTTCAGAGGTAAGGCCGGCTGGCACTAACTGGGAACATATGTCATGTCAACCATGGGGGTTAGGAAGAGAACGAGGAGGGGAAGGACGTGACCAGGGACATCTATTCTAAAGTTACTGGGACGGTTTCTCATGCTTCAGGGTCTCGTACGTCTCCTGGTTCCGGGTGCTCAGGCCCTGGAGATGAAGGTCAGAGGATGGTCAGGGCTTGTGCACACTGCAGGCCCCCTGTCGGGCCCCCTATTGACCCTATGTCTTTCAAAGGTCACACGAAAACCCACTCTCTCCTGTTGACTTCCCCAGACTGGGGTGGGGGAAGGCAGGTTCACTCACCGTGTAAATGCCGTCTGATTTCTGCAGAAGCAAAAGGGACAAGGCGTTAGACACCCATGCCTCCTTCAGGGTCCCTCGGCCTCTTCTTCCCCACCCAGTGAGGTATGTGGCTGGGGCTGGCCGGTCACTGGGGCCAGAGGGCACTCATGTGGGGACTCTGGGGCATGAATGCCCCTTTGCCCGCAGGGCTACAAATGCACATACACACCGCATACTCAGGGTCACTCTCCGCTCTCCCTCATCACCTGCTGAGTATTTTACTTGGGGCCTGGCTAGGTGGCAGGGTGCGCAGGGGGAGGGGAAGGGGGGACCTTCGACACTGGGAGTCTGTAGCAGTGACACCCAAACGCGGAAGGGGCCATACCTCGTAACTAGCTGTGGCTGCCTTCCGCACTTGGATCTGGAGCAGGGGAGAGAGGTCATCGGTAAGGGCGAAGGTAGTGGCCCAGCCCCATCCCCCCCAACTTCGCAGGGATCCCTGGTTATTCCGTCTCCTCAAAGCCAAGCCGGTCCCCTCCCCCGGCCTTACCTTAAGTCGGCAGTAGAGAAGTGTGAGGACAATACCGTACAGAAACAGGATGGCATCCAGGATATAGCAGAGCTGAGGCTCTCCCAGGGCGGCTGAAGGGACAGAGGGTGCCCTCAGGGTCAGGGACATCGGGGAGGTTCCGGCGCTCGGAGGACAGAACCGGCAGGTGGGACCGGGCCTGGTGGGGAATCTCCCAGGAGACACACTTGGTCTTCCTCTCTGGATCCTATTTTTCTCGGCTTTCCCCCTTCTCTCTCACCCTGGGGCAGGGCTGGGACAGGAAGTGTGGGGTGTTCTGCCCGCTGCGATGGAACTTACAGGCGCTGAGAGCTGAGGAGGGAGCCCCCCTCAGCCCTCCTCGGCCCCCCCGCCTCGGGCCCCCAGGCCTCTGCTTTCCGCCCTGTCGGTTCCTCAGGCCCCAGTGAGCACTTCACAGCCCTCAAGGGACTCATCTGAGTTCACTCGGCGAAGACCAAAACCTCAGCCCAAATGGGTAGGGTGAGGGACAGGCAGCGACAAATTTCACTGAAGAAACCACAGGAGTGTCTCTGTTAGGTCCTATGACCTGTGGCTGAGGGCTGGACAGGAAGGATGTGAACCGAAGAAGGGAGGGAAGGCAATTACCCTGTTATCGGTCATCTCTGAGCCTCGGTCCCCGCATCTCTGGCCCGCTAGAGTGGGCTCAAAAATGGAACAACAGGTGTCTGCTTCCCTGGGCCTCATGGATCCCGATGGCGCATGGCTGGGGGAGAGGCTCTGCCCGAGCTTGGGGGGTGGGGGGATGACCACAAGCCCGATTCCAGCCCCGGGCGCTCTGCCCTGTTACTCACTCACTCTGGGCCAGAGAGGAAGTTTTATGCAATTTAAAAAATCAAACAGGGTGTGAGCCCCAGCCGCAGTCTGCTCTGAGTCCCTTTCTGAGGGGCTCACCGGCACGTGGCCGATGCTGGGTGGTACCTCTGGTCCCCTGACGCTCTTTCCCACAATATTGCATAAACCGAAAAACTACCGGGTGGGGGTTGGTTGGGGGAGACCTCATTATCGCCATTTTACCAAGGATGAAAGGCAGGCTCGGAAAAGCTAAGTAACTCCTTTGGGGCCAGAAGGCAAAGGGACAGAGCAGGAGCTCAAACCCAGGCTTTTTTTCAGCGCTTCTGTCCCGACCTTTCTGCCTCGGTGCCCCCGCTCTCTCGCCTGGTGGCAGCAGGTCGGCACCCACGCAGTCCTTCCCTCCACCTCACAGCTGGGCTGCCGGACTCCCCCAGCCAGTCTCTTTCAATTTCCCACTTCCCTGGAGGTTCACGAGCCCCCCATCTCCACAGCCCCAGCTGCAACCCCCATCAAAACGCAAACACACAGCCCAGCCACAGGCAGCCAGAAGCGACAGTGTAGAAACTGAGTGCCTGGAGCCTCAGACCCTCTGAGACCTGCCCGTGTCTGCCTCCATTTCTTGGTGGTGCTCAGGCCACCCGAACCGGGCACTGCATCCTGCCTCCCACCCCAGCCCTCACAGCAGCTGTTGGCAGAGTGGCCTGGGCTGGTGACGACCCACGGAAGCAGGTACCAGGTCTACTTTGACCATCCTTGCCTCACCGACAAGTCGGACGCAACAGGCTCCCGCCTTCCTCGGGGGCTTTATGAATTCACCGCCCAGCCTGAGATCAGCTCCCAGCGCCAGCCCAAAGGCACCACACAGGAAACGCTGATCATGGGAAAAGAAGCTTCTCCCCAGGCTGGCTTTTCATGTCATACCTCCCCTGCCCAACGGAAGCCTTCCCCGTGATCAACCCTAAAAAAGTGAGGAGACGTGAAAACAGGGAACTAGGACTCTTGCGCCCTGACGGGGACCAGAAGGGACCATCCTCAATGTCTCAGGATCCATCTGAGCCCGGCGCCCACCT